GGTGGTGGTCTTCTGATTTTCCTCTTCGCGTCAGGACAAATTAACTACTCAGCAGTACCAGTCTGTACGTTATCGTCCGTTATATCTCATTAGCGTATATTTACACTCGGTCACACCATAATATTGGCAGCGACACCATAATATATTTATATATATTGAGCATACTCTAAGCTTGTTTGTTAACGAAATCCCACAAACATGGTTGTGGGATGAGATATTACGATTAAGTGAAAATTGGTGAGAGTACTTATTTCTTTCATTCTTTGAGTTCCGAGTGAAACACACGGCTTGAAGCTTTGAAGTTTCACTGGCTGTGGTATGTTGTCTTTACGGAGCAGAGAGTTTCTAGTCTCGCGTCCAATCTTCCTTCTTTGTCGGGGTTATAGTCAGCTAGCAGTCTAGACAAAGTTTAGGATTAATTCTGTCGGAAATCAGTTGGTCTTATGTTCAGTAACTTTAACACTGGTTGGTATGGATTTGAATCTCGGGGATGACGTGGGTTTTCCTGAGCCTACAAATCTACACTCCTTCCTTTTGAATATCAAAATGCACATAGTCTAGACAAATCAGAACTTCATGTCTAGTGACTCTGAAATTCCAGTCGTCTTCACTTTGTCCAGAATGTTTTCCTCACATTATCTTTCGAAAAACTGCTTTTCAATTTGCATGTTTTCTTCAAAGAACGATTACTTATCAAGTTAACTCTTTATGATATAAGAATTTGAAGTATTGGTTTTTGTAGGGATTTGGTTTTATTGGTTGGAGGATTTCATCATGAGCTGACATCAGTTACAGAACCATTGGAAAACCTTCAGGGAGTACTGGACAGCCGTTTCGTCCTAGTGCTCCGGACTCTTCAACAGAACACACACTGCCACTGCTCGAACCCAGGACCTTCTGGGTACAAGGCGAGCAAGCTCGTACATCATCAAGCCACTGGGACTCGATCCAATGGCCAGCCCTTGAATTCTAACTTCTCTCAATTCATTACCTAGCTCGACCACTCCGCAATGTCTTCTTTGATGAGTTACTGCCTCCCCTTCAACCTGCTACACCATACTGGTCACGGCTTTCCACTAGAGCCCCAGGTGAACTGCCTGAATAGTGCCAGTCGCTAGTGAGCGTCAGATGAGTTTTCAAGTTCCAGTGGCTTAATGGTCTACGAGCTCTCCTTGTACCCAGAAGGTCCTGGGTTCAGCCCCTGTCGTCGGGTGCGTACTGTTGAAGAGTCCGAAGCACTAGGACGAAACAGCTGTCCAGTACTCCCTGCAGGTTCTTCATTGGTTCTGTAAGTGATGTCAGCTCTTGATGAAATCCTCTAACCAATAAAAATTTGAATCCATTTTTCCCAAAAAGTGATACTATGCGTGTATCTTTCTTAATGAAACCGTCGAACAGTAATCACTTCGCTTTGATTCAAAATTCAGCCTGATATAAAATGCCTAATGTCCTCAAGGGTTCTAGGCTTCACACACATGTAATAAAATTGAATTGTCTTCTTATTACCTTTAAAAGTAAGGTTATGAATTATCAAAAGGCATACAAATCACCGCTGGATTCACATAAGTTTATCGCGAAAAAGCTTCCATTTATTCGACGTGATTGCCTTGTAGCTTGATGGTTGTGGACTCATTCCTTTGAGAGATTTCACGCAAGCACGACTGGAGAGTACCTAGCTAAGACTAAATAGTCAATTAATTGTTTCTTGATTTTCCATATTTTTACAGTTGATATCCAATAATGATGGAGTCTACAGCGAAATTAATCAACTTCCCGCAAACCTAGCCGTAGTTTATCATTTTTTCTGCTGTTGATAAGATTTTGTTCGTTGGGCAGAAGTAAGGAAAAAACACCAAGTCCAGGTGACCTTGATGCAACTAATCAGATTCTTCTAGGTGAAAAGTGGCATTTAATTTATAGAAAAATGTATTTATAAGATATGTATGCAATAAAAAGGAATTATACAGGGTATAGATCTCTAATATGCTGCAAAAATGGTCCTAGTTTACTATAGGCGTGGTTATAGACATATCAAACCAATGTCGATAAGAAAATTCATCTAACTGGCTGTATACCATATCATTTCGGGAACCATTTACCATTCTAGTACATTTTTTTAGATGGGCCCAGAATCCTTCAATTGAATTTGTATGAGTTCCGCTTATAGGATTTACTAATTGAGAAGAATGATTGACTGACTCTGTGATGAATATAGCCTGGTGATGATAATTGTGAATGAACTCTCCACTCATCTGTGTGAATGGTAGTGCCTGAGAGAACTAGTCGTTGTATTGTTCATATTAAAACATCGGCACTTCTGTTTGGGATGCTCTCTACAAAGCCTTTTCGAAGATTTGTGTCATACAGCAGCAGCGCCCAAAAATGATTTGCTCTTCTGCTAGCGTGACTCATTTTTCGTTGAATAAGTAATGTTTCGTCAATATGAACGACGACACCAATTCCTCCAAGTACAAAAGTAATTCCATTGATCTTTTGTAACGCAGTATCCCGACAGTGCTGTTACCAATGCACTGTTGACATTTCGGTATTCTCTGTTTTTGCAGCCTTAACAGATACTGGTCGCTTCATTAACCATTTGTGGTATATACGCAATATATTTTACTAAGGGAGAGTTTCGATTTCGAGAAGAGAGCATCTAAAAATCACCATAATGTACGACTTATCAGCTCCTACAGACTTTTTCATATAACAATGGTTGCATCTAAACACATAACCATCAACAGCCTGGCAATACTTTTGCAGAGTCATTATCCCTCCACAAATGCATGTTTTAGTCCTCGCTATCAACCCATTTTCCACAGAGAAGTTAAAAACCAAATCTGAGTGAAACTTACAATGAAGATTATGAACAGCATCTATTTGTAGTGCCCAGCGATCTGATTAGTTGTGCGTCGGTGGCACAGTGGTTAGGACTCTCGCCGACCATGCATATGGTCCGGGGTTCGATCCTCTGCCGACACACACCCGATATCAATGGTCGGCCTGCTAAATTTGGGGTACCGATATCCATGCTGAAAATTCCATACTTGTACTGAAAATACGGTGTGGCATCAAGCTGTAATAAAAGAATATATATCAAGGTCATTTGACTTTGGTGTCTATTGTTTACTCATGATGTTGGTCACAACAAATCACTATTTGTGTTCCTTACATATTCTTTTGTACATGTTTTCATACTTTCACAAATTACAATTTCTATCCTTATAATAGTTGGAGGAAAATCTTTCTGCTTTAGTAGTCATGTGTGCATGACTGTCTTGTGCTGATTTATTTTATTTTTGTCCTTCACTTGGAATTTTCTTTTGAATGCAGCATCCTATTGATTAATCGGTTGATTAAGTCAAAGTAACAGCATAAAAATACACACACACACTTTTAGACGATATATCTAGACATCTTATTTTCAGGCTAAAAGAAATAGACGTAAGAATCGCTAGAAGGACAAGGTCATTCTTTGTATTATGCATATATATATATATATATATATATATATATATATATATATATATATATAGTTTGCCTCTTCGATACTTGATAGAAGCCACATACAAAGAACACCTCACGTGAGGTGATTCATACGTCAAGAATAAAGGACATTCACCAAAATAAGCAACAACAAAAATTAGGTAACATGGCATTAAGTTTCCTTTTATTTTTAGATTATGATTTGTGGAATTATTTAAAATATTTGAATTGTTGAAGGATATTTAGGGAAATAGGCTTACGTATACATTTTTTTCTGTCAGCTGATCAAGAAATAAATTGCCAGCGACGCCCTTAACGGTATTTAACCTAGCATCTAATAGTCTCTCAGTGCAAAAACGTCATTACAAAGTATAACTGGGACAGTAGTAAAGCATAATTAGTTAGTCTGATATAATACGCGGTAGTACAGTACATATTTTGATGTGTCTAGTCCTTTCTTTGGTGCAGACTGAATTCTGTCAGTCAGGTTTGCAATTTGGCCACCATTCTAGGTAGCTCGGCATCACGGTGCACATAGATTTGATGATATTAGATGGTTGGTGGCAATCGACAGGAAGCCTTGGACCTAGGTTTCGTGCTAGTTGGCACTTGTCAGCATGTCCCTTCTGAGATTCGAACCCGCATCACCTAGTGTTGCAGTCACAGACGTTACCACTGAGCTATTCGAACTCGCGATCGGCCTCCTGTAGGACTGTAAATATTTACGACTAATGACGTTTCGAACCCAAATGATTGTTTAATAGTCATTGCATTTTACTTGTTCCACTGTCGTTTTAGGTTTCCAGTATTCAATATCTCTTGATTTTTATTAGTAGCAGTAGAATTAGAGTAGTGTTTTGATTAACCTGACACTATTCACTAATGCTACCTTCACAAGGAGAAACATGTTACCACAAAACTGTGGTAAATTTGACAAATGTAAGAGGCTAACAAGCATACCTGTATACTGACATCTTTTTAAGAGTGAAGATATGATTAGTTCACTTTCGCTCATGTTTGAAACCCTTTTATTTTCTTCGGATATTCTATTCTTCACCCTCCTTTTGGACTCTGAATGACCATAAACCCTAAGGGCTCTGATGCTGTAATAAATTGAAGTCCGCCTTTCTAATGAATTACAAATTCCTAATTACTCATGATTTTTATTCATCAGCTAGTTATTTAGCTAATCTAGTCAGCAGTTCTTCTTCACTATCCTTAAATACTTCCAAAGTTCAGCTGTGAGCACGCTCTGCCTTTCTCCATTTCATATTTGAGATAGCCTATACAACTTTTGCTGAAGTTGAACGACCGGACTGTATGTTCTGTCCAGACTTTGGTTTCTGCGGTTGAAAGTTTAGTCCAGCACCGGGTTGGTTGATCACCTTTACATATTTTTTTCAGTCAATTGATTTTATTTACATATTTCATCTTGTTATTGATGTTTTCCACTAATCTTTATTTTTCTAATCGCTTTCATTGTATGTATGTATTTGTTTGTTTGCTTTTTATAGCACAGACGTTATCTAGACTTGGGAAGACAAGAACAACATGTAGAAGGTGGAAGTTTAAGTGAACGCCGGAGATTTATACAATCACAAAGGATAGCCAGAGCATTACAAGGTGCTGCAGACTGTAGAATTAAAAAAATTATGGAGTCTGTGAATTATGATGATGCTGATGCCAAAACTGGTCAAGGAGATTGTAATCGATTAATACCTAAGGGAAGACGTGTTAGCAGCAAGCATAGAGACTTAAACAAGGTAAGAGATTATTATGTGATAGTATATCTGTCAGAATTTAAATTGCACAAATATTGATTATATACATACATATACTAAATGTCACTGAAACGGCCTCCTCAACGTGTGTCAAATCCATCTCCATTTCCTTCTATGTATTTGTTGGGCGATAAATTTCTTGGTTGGTTCATTCTCAGAGTTCCATGTTACTTCTCCTTTTCGGACATCTTATGTTGAGTATAGAGGCGGCAAAGGAAGCTGTTGATATAAGTCTGCAGTCAGTTGGAAATGTTCTTCGTGAAGCGCCAAGTCTCTGGACCGTATAGAAGCACTGGTTTGATATCAGTGTTGAAAATTCGGATCTTGTTCCTCATAGTGATTTGAGAATAACGAATGTCTGTCTAGCTTTTCCGACCCTGTCTTTGACATCTTCACCTGTTTCGCCTGTAGTTGAGACGGTGCTACCTAGATAAGCGAAAGAGGTGACTTGCTTTAGGTTCCTCCCGTTGGTGGTGATTGGTGCTTGTTGTTGGTTGGTTGGTTGGTTATCTTCATTATCTCGGTCTTCTCTATGTTCACTTGAAGTCCTGTCTTCGTTTCTGCTTCTGATAACTAACGCATAGATAGTCAATAATAGCCTCTTCCATGTGTATATACCAATTTAACTGCTCCTGTGGAGCAAGTTACATAGGCCGTACAATTAGGCGTGTTTCTCGTCGAATTTCCGAACATCACCCTGCCTGGTTAAGCAAAGGACAAACAAAATCTATTCGCAGAGCTATTCTGTCTCATCTTGTGGAGACAGAACACAAGATTGATGTTAATCATGCTTTCAGGGTCATTTACCGCATACCTACGAATCTCAATTTTGCTTTAAGAGTTCGACTACTAAATATTGCTGAGGCTGTGGGGATCCATATTAACAAGCCTAATTTATGCATCCAAAAGAAGTTAGTTCAGTCATTATCATTACCTTGGCCATCCAGGTTTGAATAATCCGGAATTTTTGTGAAATTTCCCTAATTTTAGTTGATATTCTATTCGCTATTATATCTTTATTATTATTATAATTTAAGCATCTTTAATGAACTGTAATAGCATTGATCATACTTTACAAATCGATATTATTTAAAAAAACGCTAATATTGTTATTTACTACTAATTTAAAATATTCTGTGTATAAAAACATATATATAATTGTAGAGCCTGGAAGAGGAATTTATCGAAAAGAATATTCTTTGCTCGATTATTTTGTTTTTATAGATGTCTGAATGAACATTTTTGCAATATTTGTACAGTTGATATTCTGACTTGTAGGCTATCGAGCTATTCTGCAGTTACACATAATACCATCGTCTTTAAGAAGGCCGATGGTTAGTAACGCACTTGCTTAGTGTCGACTGGAATTGCGGAGTCTTCTATCACCATCGATTACATCACCTCCCGGTGTGAAGCGCTGCCTATTTTTTATTCACGAGTCGCTGAATATGCGCACTGCTGTTTTCTTTCTGTCTTTTCGATTGTGGTTATCAGAAAATTACCTAGCAGTATGTCTAAAGACAGAGTCAACTTTGGTTTAGTGGTGGCATCTGAGTTGCGACGACGTAACTGATTGTAATCACGAGTCCATATGTCACCACCAACTTTCATATCATAAATAACTTGGCCTAGTCGTACCGCGATGTAGTCTTCCTTTCAGGCCTCGTGTCCTGGTCGACAGTCACTGACATAGTCAGCTGTACTAACCTCAAAATTGCTCCTAATTCTAGTTGGTGAGTCGAAAAGCTTGGATTCTTTTGGTAACATCGAGCTATGCATGGTCCTTAGCTTACGTCTCAGTAAATAATTTCATCTGGTGATTGTTTATTTGGAATTATGCGATATAGCGATATATATTGTGAATGAAGTCCCTTCTCCTTTTGCTAAATTAGGGTTCTGCTTGGCCGTTTGATTGTGTATGTATGGAGACTTGGTGGTATGTCGACGGCAGTACTATTGAAACCGTTGAGAAGTGAGCCGCGTGAGCCATTATCTGTAACTACTGTTTTCAGAAGACCACCATGGAAGAATATATCAGTCAGAGCCTTAAGAGTATGCGACTTTCCTGTTAGGAAAACTGGTATGATCTCTGGCCATTTCGAAAAAGAATCCACTAGTGGCGGTGGTGGTTATATGGGTTCTGGGGTTGTAGGTGTGGGATTTTACATGGGCGGACCTTCGCCGAACGATCGCAGACCCTACAATGCTACACCTGTCGCTAAGCCTTTCTATGGTGGATATCGAGGTGATAATTACAACAGACGGTCAGACCGACGAGATGATTTTCGCGGCGGTAAGCGTGGTCAGCCAAAAGGTCGTAGTCCAGAGAAACGTTATCATGATCCTGCATCTAACCAGCGTAAAGACCATAGACCTTCGGAAACGGCCATCGTCCTTCGCACGCAACGAGGTGAGATTCCAAAAAGTCTTTTCAATATATCTTCGGCGTCACTGCCTGACCTTCGACACCGGTATCCTCGTTTAAACATATCAGCCGACTTCTACGAGTGCACGTCCTCATGGGTGGATTCGTTTCCCATGCACAATCCCTTTAAGCTGGGAAGTGGGACTGATTATCATGTTTATCTATGTTTCGATGCAGTTACTGCCATGGCGGATACGTCAGTGGAGCTGACAAGATTCTACCTGATAAGAGCATACACTTTTGGTTGGTGGTCGAGCGAAGAGTGAAACTATGGCTCTTGGTGGACCCTGGTCACCAAGCCTAGATGGACTCGATCCTCAGGGAGATCCAAGAACACTTATCAACACAGCTATCCGGACGTTCAAAGGCTTGACCGGACTAGATTTGTCTTCTTGCACAGAATGGGTCAGATTTATGGAGATCAAGTACTATCGCATGCCTGATACGAAAGCTCCAGCTTTCACGGAAGCTGAGGAAGAAAGAGAAATAACTTCGGAGCGTCCTGAGGTCGTAGTATTCTTTATTCCGAATGCGGCCCACCTAATTCCTTCAGAAGAAGAATGGGCTAAGACTAAAGAGTACTACAATTCTGCGCTTCAGAAGCTGTTGACTGACGAGAAGGCTGAGCAGGACGGGGTGGTTGAACAGCAAGACGGCGAAACAAGTGCTATGGATGCCAGTATGGAGGAGTCTGAAGAGGCCGGCACACGATCAGATATGGAGCCGACCATTATTCTAAGCTCGATGTAAATAGTCTGAAGGTCAGTGACCTACGAAACGAGCTAGCAGCTAGAAAGTTGGATACTAAGGGTTTAAAGGTTAATCTAGTGGCCCGCTTACAGAGTGCTTTGGATGAGGAGAAGAAGGCAGATGCACCGGAAGAAATGAAGGTTGATGAGAACTCTAAAGCCGAACAGACTCTGAATAAGATCGCTTCGCCGTCTGCGACGCAACCAAAGGATGATTCAAAGGACCTCTCTGAGAAAGAACGCCGGCGTTTGGAACGCCTCTATCGTCTTGGTGATAAGCCAGCCATCGTTATCCATCCAAACAAGTCAGCTAAGGGGGGTCGATTCGACTGTCATCGTGTTTCGTTGTTCTCTCTCCTCGACTATCGTACCGAAGATCAAAAAGAGCACAACTTTGAAGTATCCCTGTTCGCTGAACAGTTCCATGAAATGCTCCAGCGAGATGCAGCCTTCACAATTTTCAAGGCGATTCACGATGCGCCTGAGAAAGAAACTAAACCTGAACAGGATGGAAAGCTCGAAAACGGCATCGATTCTGACGAGCCTGATGCCAAAAGATGCAGAAATGACAGCCAAAATGGTCACGACGAAGAGGAGGAAGTCAAGGTGCGTCGCCTTTGGCGCACCGTGAACCCATTTATAGGACCGGTAAAGTCAGTATGAATTCGAGACCAAACACTATCTGCTGGTGGCCATAGTGTAGGAAGTAGTCGATTAAGAAGTTCCGCTGCCTACTGACATTTTGAATATAGTTTGACGAAATCGGCGATGTACTTATTCACGTTTGGCCAGTCTGTGAAACTTCGAGCAGTAGACTTCACGCGCTGAATACCAGGATGCTTCATGTGGAATTGTTTGAGAAGCTTAACTTGAAGAGCTTCCTGTATTACTATGCGCTCTCCGAATATCAAGAAATCCTGCGCTACATACAAAGAGCCGCGATGAGTAAACGGATGTTTCAAATCCTTACTAAATCGAATTTTTAGCTGACGCCTTGTTGCGTACTCTTTGGCATGTTGTGTGGATTTATTACTGCGTGTTCAACACTTTTTCTTATGGAATTGTTATTACTCGAGATGTTATGAAATGTTTATCTAATTAGTTGTTTCTAGTATCCAGGGCAATGTTATTTCCATAGTTAGTGTATTTTGTGTTCTTGCTTATTTCCGCGAATACTGTATTGTTTTTGTGGATTCGTATTCTTGTCCAAGGTTATGTGGTTTATGCAGATGTTAGTTGCGCAATCTTTATAAGATTTACATGGAATTCAACTGAAAGAAGTTGTTTCATGAGAATAAGCCTAATCTGTATAGTTCCTATTTTGGTGCATACAGGAGTAAGCCAAGGCTGCCCATTATCACTGATGATATTCTTAATTGTGGTGGACTGAATTATGCCTCAGACTGTAGGAAGTGAGGAGACAGGAATAGTCTGGACGACTGATAAGAAGACTCTGGGAGATCTGGATTTCTCAGATGATATATGTCTAATGTCACACAAACTCGAAGACTTGTAGGCTGGCGAAAACCAACAAACTGGCTGAAGAGGCTGTCAGCGAAGACAGGACTCCAGGTGAACACAGAGAAGACGGATGTGGTGAAGATAAACAATCACCACCACCAACAACAATAACCAGCACCAATCACTACCAACGGGAGAGATTTAACAGAGGTTACTTCCTTCACTTATCTACGAAGCATCGTTTCAACCACAGGCAGTCGGAACGGACGAAGATGTCAAAGTCAGAATCGGAAAGGCGAGATACGCCTTCATCAATCTGAAACCAATTTGGAAATCTTCTGAACTCA